GCTCTGCCGGTCTGGTCAGCTGCCTGAGCTTCTCGGACGCCGCGGCCTTGCTGAGCTTCCCCGCGGGCTCGGCGCTGCTCCTCTCCAGGAGTCTCCTGCGCTTCTCCTTCTCCTGTAGTTTCATGTGCTTCCTCAGTTTCTTCTTCCGCCTCTCTCGCTTCTTGTCTGTGGCTGTTTTCTCCGCAGCGGTTTTTATGTCGCCGGCTTTATTTTTTTCCTTTTAAAAAGTAACCACCAACACACCCGTCAGTCAGGCCGACGGCACGTGGCCTCCAGCACGAGCCCGGGACCTGCCGAGGTGGCCCCCGTGTTTAGCGGCCGATGCCGGCCACTGGGCTGGTTGCAGGGTCTGAGACAGGAGACCCTCCAGGGGGCGCTCAGCTGCCTCGCTCTCCTCGGCGGCCGGCCTAGCTGCTGGGGCTGTCGCCGGCAGAGTCTCTGAGGGGTGGGTGCGGGAGCAGCAAAGCGGGTGAGGGGAGAGGGGCTGCGCTGCTAGGCCAGCGGGAAGACAGCCTGCAGGACCAGCGTCACTGTCCAGGCACGAGCGCCGTGTCCACAGGCAGGGACCGCCTGCACTTGGCCTGCCAACTCCACCGACACCCAAAGGCTCCTGTTCTGACCCCAACTCCATTCCAGAAAAGCATTAAGCGGACGACATGAGGGGGAAATGCTGACGTTAAAAGATGGCTAGTTTATGTGCAATATGTGCCATTTGTTTGAAACCTAACCCTGCTGGTATTCAAATGGATTAGAACGAGATACTGATAATGGCTATTTACCAACAGCTTTTGTACTAAGTCTCATATCTGCAAATCGTAATAACAGCTGATTATAGGAGTCTGGTATTTGAATATTAAACGCCATTATAACGTTATTAATTTGATTACACTTAGGAACTGCTGATACACATTAGAATAAAAACTACGAACTCCAGGAGAATGACAAATGAAGACCTGGCTGCGAACACTGCTTATCGGCAGATACTGCACGTTTCACCGGCTCCTCACCTTGACTTCCTCTGGGGCCAGGAGAGCTGCGTCGCTGACACTCACGGGGGCGACTTCCTCCATGGTGATGGCTGGCAGGTTGGACACAACTTTAATCTCCGGAACGGGCTGGAAAAGACGACACATGGATTAGGAAGTAAGAAATAGTCCGCACCTAAAAGAATTGAATTGTGAACCTAGTAATTTAAAATCGAATACACAAAATGCTTTTGGGAGGGTCTTTAAAACGTGAGCTGTGTTGAGGGTGGAAGCCAAGCTAACGGGGCAGCACTCACGCTGCCGGAGGATTCGAGGGTCTCCTGTGTCAGCACTGCCCCAGGGGCACCCCGTCCTACCCTTCTGCATGGCACCTCTGCTGGATTCACACCCCAGTTCTCTCATCTGTGACTGAACTAGTCCCCTCTCCCATGCTGTGTACGTTCTTAATCTTATCTGCTGTTTAATAGAACCTTTGATTTCTGTAAATATTACCTCGCTCTTGGTTGGGGGGGGGGAAGAGCTCACTGTAAGAAATACATGGAGCCCGGCCAGTGTGGTTGGGCATAATCAACCCATGACCCAGGAGGTCACAGTTTGATTCCGTCAGGGCACATGCCTAGGTTACGGGCTCGATCCCCAGTGGGGGGCGTGCAGGAGGCAGCTGATCCATGATTCTCTCTCATCACTGATGTTTCTGTCTCTCCTTCTCCCTCCCTTCCTCTCTTGAAGTCAATTAAAAAATGTGTTGAATAAAAAAGAAATATGTGGAAAAAGATACAAGGGAAAATGTTCACCGGAACAAATGAGTCAAAACAAACTACTTAATAAGTTTCTCGCTTTCCAGCTCCTAGAAACAGACTCCGGTAAGCAGAAGCCACATGAAGAGCCGGCCGCCCCGAAGCTCAGCCAGGGCCGCGGCCACAGCGGCTCCGTGCGCAGGCGGGGGGTGAGCACTCACGGGCTTGGGGGTGAAGTGGAAGTTGGAGAGGGCGTCCAGCTTCAGGAACAGGGCGTCCATCATCTTCTGGATGGCCGCGTGCTCGGGGTTTTCCTCTTCTTCTGTTTTTTGCTGAGAAAACAGGTTTAACGCCATCAGACTAAGCGGCTTAAGGGACGGCACCCACGGCCCCTGCCGGTGTGCCGAGCCTCCTGGCAGCACCCTGGGCGGGCACGGGTCCCTCCGCTAGCGCCCCGGGCCGCAGGCAGCCAGGAGGACCGAGCCTCCTATTCTCCCCCTGCAAGGGCACTGCTGTCCCGCAGCTGAGGGGCCCAACAAGCTGCTGGGCGTCTTAAACGGCTTTGGCAGAGCAACACTGTCACCTCATCCCCAAGCAC